CCCCCCCCCCCCCCCCGTTTGAATGAACAGCCATCCATTTGGAAAACTTCAGTTTTTCTTGGGTCACAGAATGACATTCACTCCCAGCATAGCCACAGGGGATGACATTGCTGATAATTCATTGTTGAGTGTTTCCTCTATACTCTTTTCTTCAGAACTGATTGTACAGATGACACAGGGCTGCTTGAAGTAACAGGAGCAGGTTGGCAGAGTGCCTACACAGCTGTTCCACGTGTCACTTCCAAACCTGCCCATCTGCCAACTGCACAATATAGGAAGCGGGTTCTGGAACCCCCACTATAGTAGATGGGATCCATTGTGATGAGCAAACACAAAGTTCTGTGGATGAAACAAGCATGGGTTCAAGGATGCCAGTACTGAATTCAGTTCTTCCTCTCTCTTCAATAGTGAATCTCTAACTTGTTTGCAATTATGCTTTTAATATCTCCTTCTTTAGAACCCCCACCAATCTTTAGCTCTTTTTGCTATTATTATTCTGGCATGGGATCCTACTTATCACTGCTTTTTGTTTATTAAAAACTGGCTTTTTTGAAGTATAAGGTGCATGATTAAGTTTAGGTTTAGATTTAATTTCCCTGAAATCAAGACTTCCAGCATTACATAGCCATTTTCCCCCAATGCTTCAGATACTTTCACTTCCTCATCTAAGTCTTAGTATCAGGTCAAATATAGATGATTTGATGCTTGTGCTTTCTTTCATCTTCTGAAGGATAGGACACAGGCATGTACACGCACACAGTCTGTTTTGCAATAAAATGTAGCAGTGCTCTTACTCTAACTTAGCTGAATTCTGAGCTAATGCTCTTGAAGCATTGTTCAGTACTTTTAATGTAATGGGAGGAAAAAAACCCATAAATATTTCCAGGCCTTTCCCTGTTGGGCTTTGTAGTGCTAGAGGGCTTAAGCATGGGACGGCTATCAAGCCTAAACCTGATAATTCAGCCTTCCTTTTTTTAAATATAATTTTTATTAAAAGAACATTTTACATAAGATTAAAAAACTACGGAAACATAACAGGTAGTCCTTGACTTACAACCACAATTGGGACCAGAATTTTCATTGCTAAGTGATGTGGTCATAAAGCAAGATGTCACGTGACTGCAGCATTCAGTGACTGCAGTCCAGGTTGCCGTCATTAACCAAGAATCATGGGTCATTAAGTAAGTACCCATCCCACCCCCATACAAGCCATTCTGGGCTTGGTCCCTTCCAGCCCCAAGGCTCAGTAAGGTAAGGGACTGCCTCCAGTTCCCCCCATCTGCCTGTCTCCCCCCCATCTCTGCTCTTTTGACCACCTGCACCCTGCCTTGCAGGGCAGCAAGCAGCCCCAGAACAGCACGGCTCTGGGGCTGCTTGCCACACCCTGGGAAGCACTCCAAGACTCCTGCTGCCCTGTGCTCCATCACCCCAGCTGATCTTTGCTGTATTCTTGCTCCAAAATGCCCCTTTGCAAAAAGCTCCTGGGCAGGACTGGGCTGGGCCTTTGCTTCATGTTGCCAAAAAAAAAAAAAAAAGCTAAAAGACCAGACCAGCCCAGGAGCACAGTGCAAAGGGGCTGCTTTTGGTTTTTTTTTTTTTTTTAAAAAAAACAAAAAAAAAGCCAAAAGCAGCCCCTTTGCCCTGTGCGCCTGGTCTGGTCTGGTCTTTTAGCTTTTTTTTTTTTTTTTTAAAAAAAACAAAAAAAAAGCCAAAAGCAGCCCCTTTGCCCTGTGCGCCTGGTCTGGTCTGGTCTTTTAGCTTTTTTTTTTTTTTTTTAAAAAAAACAAAAAAAAAGCCAAAAGCAGCCCCTTTGCCCTGTGCGCCTGGTCTGGTCTGGTCTTTTAGCTTTTTTTTTTTTTTTGCAGCGTGAAGCAAAAACCCGGCCCAGTCCCAGTCAGGAGCTTTTTGCAAAGAGGTGTTTTAGCATGTCGCACTCCAGGAGCTTTTTTCAAAGGGGCTTTTTGGAACAAGAAGACAGGGAAGGTCAGCTGAGGTGGCAGAGTGCAGGGTGACAGGGGGCCAAGACAGCATAGATGGGGGGAGTTAGTCGGGTGGGCCCTGAAGCGCCCCTGTGGTTGTAAGTGCGGCCTGCTGCCAAGTGCCCGAATTTTGATCATGTAGCCGTGGGAGCCCTACAACAGCTGTAACTTTGGGCACCGGTCTTAAGTAACCTTTTTCAGCGCGTTCAAAACTTTGCACAGTCGCTGAACGAATGGTTGTAAGTCGACTATAAAAGGAAAAGTAGGAAAAAAATATTGAAAGAATAAAAGAAAAAGTGAAAGATAAAAGAAGAAAAGAGAAAGATATGTAAAGAAGCGACTTCTGATCTTTGTAGCAGTTACAAACATAGTAATTCAATCTTCCTGTATTATTTTTGGTAAAGGCAAAGAACTAGCACCTCCTTTTTACAGGCATACCTTGTTTTATTGTGCTTTGTTTTATTGCGCTTCGCAGATGTTGCATTTATCAAACACCGTTGCATGCTATAGAGAAATCTTTCGTGACAGGAAGAGTTGATGCAGCAAACTTGATTGTTGTCTTAAGAAAAAATAAAAAATAAAAAT